TTAGCACTAGGCAATAACATGAAAAAAATTATAAAACAAGATCTCAGCAAGGGAAAAATATACTCTGTACTATATTAATTCCCAATCATTTTCAGGTTGCTTTTTAAAGCATTCTTAGGTCATTTTGGGGTATGTGGTCTCCCTCTTTCTACATATCCTCCTAAAGCTTCCAGCACTACTGAATTATGTGTCTGCTGTGACCATCCTAGTGGGGCAGGACTAGTGGCTTCCTGCTGATCGGGGAATGGAGGGTGGAGTCATCAGGGCTGGGGCCCCATGGTGGAGGAGATGTGTTGAGAGCAAGACCACCAATCCCAAGGGCTCTGGACACTCACAGTGAATCGCTGAAGGCCAAACTTGGGGAACACAAAAAGGGCTCTGGGCCCCTTACTCACCCCTTCCCCCAGGGGATGTGCTTAAAGTGCTAACACTGTAAGAAAATGACGCATTGCTAAGCGTCATCCTGGGTGCCACCAGATTTGTCATCTCCCTCTTCCTACCTGGCTTGTGCTAACACCAGGCACTGGCACTGCCACGGGCCAGGCCAATAGAAGAGTCTAGTGCCCAGTGAAGAAGGTCCAACATATAACCTAGGATGTCCAAGAGTTGAGGGCAGAGGGGTAGACGAGGGCAGAAAGGTATGCAGCAAAAGGGACTAGTTTGTGCTTGGCCAGTGCCCCTGGGCCAGGGGTTGGTTCCTGTGCAAAATTTGGTTTAGTTCTATACAGCTAACAGGGTCCTAAATTCTCCCTGAGGGAAAGAAGCTACATAGCATAGGAAGGAAATCCATGCAGGGTCCTCCCTGCCCCCCAAACCCGCATGCCCCATGCCTACAGTACAAGGTGCTAAGGACCACAGGTGCAGGGTATTCAGCAGGCCATGCCACACTTGGATGTTGGATGACATCTGAACACATCTGGCCAAAGAGCCCCAGCTGCCTGGGCCCAGTCATCACATGCAGGCCCCCAACCTGAGCTGGCAAGAGGGGCTCAGGGCCAGCTGGCAGCCTGGCCAAGGATACCTGTGCCCCTGCAGGTCAGATCCCAGTGAAACACATCATGTGCATCACACAGAGGGCACCCCAGCCAGGAGGACGAGCAAAAGTGGCAGTGGCATGGCCTCTTCACGCTGGCAACGCAGCTAGGCAGAGGATGCCTCGGAGGAGGAGCTGGAGGGTATCTGGGGGCTGAGAGGGCACCCTCGTCTCACCCTCAGCTCAGAGCCAGATCTCATCACTGCTCACGCTGGACACTCGATAGATGTAGCCCAGCATTGGGAGGCGGATGAAGCCTGCGAGGTCAAAGAGGTGCAGGGGACTCAGTAACCCCGGTTCCTGGGGAGGTGGAAGAGCCCTCTCTGCCCCCGGGCACTCAGAGGCCTTGGACACATTCACACATGCACAGAGCCGGGAGCAGGGGAGGAGGGCAGCAGGCCCCTTCCCCAGTACCTCGGCTGGTGAGGAGGCCACCGGGCTCTGGGTCCAGAAGCTCTGGCCGGCTGTTGTTCCGAGTCATCTGCTGGTCTGCCGATTTCCCTGTTGGGTGACAAAGGGGGCTGTGCCCAGCACAGGAGCGTGCCTGATGGGGCCTTGCCCCTCCTAAGCACCAGGGTCTCTCTTTTTCTCAGAAGCACCTGCAAACAGCAGGGGCCTGGATGTACCTCTGGAATCTGGAGTGAGGTCATTGAGCTGAAGGTTGGATGGGAGGGACATGTTCTCCCGTGGCAGGCGCACATTGTTGAGTTTCAGGTTGTTGGAGTCACTACGGGCAGACAAAGGTTGGGATGTGCCCTGGCACCAGCAGGCACAGGTTCCTCTACTGGGGCCTATTCCAGACCTGCCAGAAACCCTGGGTTCCCACACGTCCCCACCCTGCATTTCAGTTCAGCCCGTCCACCCAGCCCCACGAAGAGTTACCTAGAGACCAGAGATGGGCGCCGGGAGGGGCCTGAGGAGAAAAAAACCATGCCACCGATTCTCAATGTGCCCTCCCATGCCGGGCTCTGCCTCCCCTGCCCTTTCAGACCCAGGACCCTCAGGCAAGTGGTCTCTCAAATGCCCAGCCTGGGTTGCCAGGGGCTGACCCTGCTACCCAGGATGCATGTTATCCCACCCACGGCCATACCCTGGAAGTGTTCTGCCGCTTGTCAGAGATGACCTGTGCTGCCCAGCTCTACTTGCTGTTTTTGCGGCTCACCCCGACCTCACCGCCACTCCCTTAGCCACCCTCTGCCCCCCAACACCACTGGCCCTACCTTTGGTCTTCTTCTCTTTCCTGCAGACCAGGCAGGCCACCAAGGTGCTGAAGCCCACGAGGGTGCCCAGGGCAAGCCCTCCAGCTACAACAATGCCCAGCAGTGGCACTTCTACCCGAGTGGCCAGGAGCCCTGCAAGTTGTCTTCTGGTTAGGTTCCAAGTAGGCAGTGCCCCAACCCCGAAATGCTGTAGGAACTACTCTGTCCTCCTTGCCCAAGGTGGATGGGGACAGCTCATCCACAAGACCCACTCAAAGGGCAACAAGTCCTCCCATTTCTGCACCCTGGTTCCTGCACTGACCTGAGCCTTTGCTGGGCCAGTTGCTGGCAATTCTTACCTGGGGCTGGTAGGGAGGCACTGGTGACACCCACGTCATTGGTGGCCACCACTGAGAGGTTGTGTGCCAGGCTGTGGAGCTGCAGCTGCACAGTGTGGTTGGTGAGCCAGGGGTAGTTCTGGGCATCCAGCACCAGGAAGTCAGAGGTGTTGACAGTCACTGGCCCATTCTGGTCGATCCAAGTGACATTGGCAGGTGGGTTGGCACGCACCAGGGCAAACAGAACAACCAGGAGGCCTGGGCCCTGAGCTTCCTGGTACTTGGCCCCGACCTGGGCAATCTCTGGCTTAACTGGTACAAAGCAGAGGCCAACATGCTCTCACCACAGCACCTCATGCTTCTGGCCATTTCTTCCCAAACCCAAACCCAGATGGGAGCCAGGAGCCTGGATGCCTACTCAGAAGGGGCACTGAGAAATGGGATGGTTGGGTCTGCCAGAGGGGCAGCACTTCGTAGCGATTAAGAGTATAAATACTAGGGCTGGGCGCAGTGGCTCACGCCTGTAATCCTAGCACTCTGGGAGGCCGAGGCGGGAGGATTGCTCGAGGTCAGGAGTTTGAAACCAGCCTGAGCAAGAGCATGACCCCCTCTCTACTATAAACAGAAAGAAATTAATTGGTCAACTAATATATAGAGAAAAAATTAGCTGGGCATGGTGGCACATAGCTGTAGTCCCAGCTACTCGGGAGGGTGAGGCAGCAGGATTGCTTGAGCCCAGGGGTTTGAGGTTGCTGTGAGCTAGGCTGACGCCACAGCACTCACTCTAGCCTGGGCAACAAAGCGAGACTTTGTCTTAAAAAAAAAAAAAAAGTATAAATACTAGAACCCAAATGTCTGGATTTGAATCCTGGCTCTGCATCTTGCCAGGTGTAGGACCTTGGGCAGATTGCTTAACTTCTTTGTGCCTCAGTTTTCTCATTTGTAAAATGGGATAACAATCGTAATCACCTCATAGGATTATTGGGAGGATAAGAAGAGTTAATATTTGCAAAGTGCTTAAGTGTTTATTAAATGTCCTGCCAACCACCTGCCTGGTGGCTTCTGGGAGTCCCTAGGCAGAGAACCTATCCCTGCCCACCTCAGGGGCACTCACATTGCACATTGAGAATGACGGAGGCATTGGCTGACTGGCCACTGCCCGGGTCCCGCAGGGAGCAGTTGAGTTCGTGCTGGGCCCGCTGGGCAGTGATGGTAAAGGTGCTGGTGCCCCCAGAGAAGGCCTCCCCGCCCACGCTCAGCAGTCTTGAGGTGCTGGCCTCCTGCAGCTGTCCATCCAGGTACCAGGCCAATCGGGGGGTGCCAGGGCCCCCTGCCACTCGGCAGGTGAAGGCGTGGCGCTCATTCTCTCGGAGTGCCCGCTCAGCCCAGGTCTGACCATCTATTTGTGGCGCCAACTCCCCCCAACCTGGAACACAGCAGAGGGCCTCTGGGAAGGGCTGGAGGAGGGTTGGTCCTGTTCTGTGACCAGGATGAGGCCATTACGGAGGGACAGCAGGCTCAGAGCCAGGACACCCGGGTTCTCTCACCAGGGACTGGCTGGACCTAGGGTAGGTGGGTGAGGGGAACCAAGCTCTAGAGTGGGTGCCCCGACTGAAGGTATAGCAAGGAGAGGAGAGAGGAGGCTCTGGACCCCAGAAGTGCTTGGTGGAGGAATGAAGAGGGGTGTACCTGAGCTCAGAAGGGCTGGCAGGAGCAGCAGTGTGTGCGAGAGGGTAGCCAGGCCTGGAGGCAGCGCCATGGTGGCCCGGGCCGGGCCCCAGGCTGCTGAGAGAAGGGGGCGGGCCTCCGTGTCAGCCAGGTGAGAGCAGGCAGGCCTAGCAATTCCTCCAGGAATTTACTCTCCAGAAACAAAAAGAACCATGCACGGAAACACAAATGTACACCAGCCCACGGTGGCGAAGGCACGGACACGAACAGCAAAGCCCAAAGGCACAGACCCACCCAGCCTGTACCTGGCCACCCAGCGGGCACAGAACCAACCACTGACTCCAGGGGACAAGCAGGTACACACCCGCAGGTACACAGAAGCAACGAGCGCCAGCGCAGCCGCACCGTACCCAGTCACACACCCGCACACTCGAGCCACACGCGCCCCTCCCCCAATGGGAGCGCCTGTCTCCTCACCCCTCCTCTTCCTTACCCCATTCCCCCTCCCACCTCTCGCCCTGCGCCCCCTTCCCAGTCCCACTTGCTCAGGTGGATTTGGGCGGGAGAGGAAGGGGTGGGGGTGGGGCCGCGGGAGCATCCCGCCCCCGCCCCCTTCTACCGGGCGGCTCACCTGGCTCCCTCCCGCGCGCAGCCAGAGCAACTGCTCAGGTCTGACGAGCACCGCAGTCCGCCGCAAGGGCGGGGGCTGCGCCAGGCAGGGCCAATCAATGCCCGACCACGGGCCCGCCGCGCCCTCCCCCGGACCCCACGCCGCGTGCACCTGAGTGCGCTTCTGCCCGTGCGTGGGCGCGTGGGCGCGACGCAGAAGCAGGCGAGTCGGTGAGGCCAGTGCAGCTTTATTGATTCAGGGCCCTTCCCGCCTCCCCACCCCGGCCGCCACCCAGGCCCAGCCGCGCTCAGCGCCCGTTGCGGGGGCTGCGCAGCTGCCCCATCATGTCAGCCAGCATGCGGTTGCACAGCGCGGCGTAGGGGTTGAGCAGCACCAGCTGGCGCCGCGCGAAGGGGCTGCCCAGCCGCGCCGCCAGCTCGAAGTCCCTGCGGGCATCGTCATCCCGGCCCTGCAGCCGCGCCAGGAGCCCGCGCTGCACGAAGCTCTGGCGGGCGGCGCGGCCTCGGCCGCCGCTTAGCTCCACGGCGCGCTCCAGGTCCTCCAGGGCGCCTGCGGGACGGGAGGCGGTCAGCGGCCGCCCTGGGCGCCAGGTGCTGGAGCCCCCACCCCCTGCCACCTGTAGCCTCGCGGATCACTGCAGTCCGTGGTGGCCCCTGAGACCCCGGGCTCGGCCGTTTACAGCCTGCCTGCTGCACTCGCAGACATTTGATGCTGGAGCTGGAGATTTGTTATCCCATTGCGCAGCTGGAGACTGGAGGAGTTGGGAAGACTTGCATGGGCGGCACAGCACTTAAGAACAGGTTCCTATTATTTTCCACCACTGATACACCAAAACATGAAGGTTGCGGGAGGATTGTGAACGGTCACTATGTTTTGAATCTGGCCCATTGTCGGGCAAGTTGTGGGCAAGTCATTCCACATGTGTTTTGTTTTGTTTTTTTTTTTTCTCCTTTAAGCAGTTAATCCACACATAAGTTACTAATCATCTACTATGTGACAGGTGACTGGATCAATCCCAGGGTTCAAAAAAATTATAATTAACCAGGCGCGGTGGCTGGGGCCTGTAATCCCAATCACTGGGGAAGCTGAGGCGGGAGGATCACTTAAGGCCAGGAGTTCAAGACCAGCCTGGGCCACATGGCAAGACCCTGTCTCTACAAAAAATAGAAATATTCGCCAGGCACCGTGGCGCTTGAGTAGTCCCAACTACTCGGGAGGATCTCTTGAGCTCAGGAGTTCAAACAAGGGTAACAAAGCAAGACCCCCACCCCGACTCTACAATTTTTTTTTAAATTAAAAAAAATTGTAATTGACTGCACAACCATTTCTTGCAAAGACAATAAAGTCAGTTTATCTCTTTTGACAGTTTACAATGCTTGTTAAAGTTTAGAACAGCTCCTCCCCAGTTACCTAGACTGATTGCCTTTCTTCATTCTTTCATTATCTCCAAGATCTTCACTATTTTGTATCTAATTCCTTGGAAGGGGGTCCTGGAGCCAGAGCTGCCCTGCACCATTTTTATTTTAATTATTCTCATAAAATATTAATACTTGGGTTAGGCCTCAGAACTCAGAAACTCAGGCAGCCAGGTGGTGTCTTCTGTAAGGTACCCCAGGCTGTTTTCATCTGGGTTCTGCTTCAGTTCACTCAGGTTCTCTAGTCCCTAAAGAGCCTGACAAGGTACCTGGGGAGTTCCAGCACTGTCCTGGAGCAAGGCTGATCTTCTCTGTCTTGGGTCTTTATGTGTCTTGGTTCCTTAAACCCACCCAGGCTGCTGGGAAGCTCTCAGGCTGCAGCATTCCTTGGTTTCCCTTGGAGGGAGGAGCTGATCTGGAGGAATCAATCACCTCTGCACCTCTCTGGAGTTTCAGCCTCAGCCTGTCCCCAGAGGTCTGGGCACACAAGCCTGGAACCCTAGGGGGCTCTAGGGATTCCCCATTGTTTGTGGAATGGAGTCCAAACTCCCCAACCTGGCATTCCTGGCCCTGGGAGCACCTGCACCAGCACTGGTCCTAACAAGTAGCTCCCTACTAGGCTTCCGTAGTCTACACCTTCCCATCAGCCAGGTCCCCTCTGTCCCACTGTCCCCAATCTAGCCAGAGTAATCTGAATGCAGCAGGTTTGATCCAGTCACTCCCCTGTTAAAATCCTTGAGTGATCACCTGTGTTTTCAAGACAAAGTCCAATCTCAGCCTAACACTCCCAAGGTCCTCACTGTCTGACCCCTGCCTACCCATCCAGGCTCAGCTCTCTATCCTTCCTCCACTCCAGCCAGCCTGGAAATCCGAAGGAAATCCCTGTACCTGTGCATACCTTCGGGACCTCCACAGACTCTACCTTCTCCCACTCACGCAGCTAACTCTTACTCATCCCTCAAGACTTGCCCTTCAGGAAGAGGTCCCATGCTGACCCCTCTCAAACTTGTTTTGCTAGTATCCTGTATGTGTCTGTTCTACCTCTCAAGACTGGGACCTCCTTGAGCAGCAGCATGTGGCGTTTAAGAGCACACACTCTGCAGCCCTGCTACCTGCTTCAAATCCCTGCTCTGCCACTTCCCAGCTGTATGATGGTAAACAAGCTGGTTAACATCTCCATGCTTCAGTTTCTTCGTCTAGCAAACAGAATAGTGCATACCTTAGGGTTTGTTACAAGCATTAAGTGGGTTACTACAGTTTATATGTAAAGTGCTTAATGCCTGGCACACGGTAACCACTCTATAAATGTTAGCTGTCAATAGTGTACCATTTATCTCTATGTCCTAAGCACCTAGCCTACTGCCTGCCACATTGTAGGTTCTCATTAAATGTTCTTTAAATGAATGAATGGGTTTGCAATCACTTCTGCCTTTCAAAGAGGCCCATGAGATTAGCAGGGCCCATGATACATCTCATACTTTATACATAAGAAGACAGGCTCCAGAGTTTAGTGACTCCCTACCCCTCATAGCCTAGCCCATAATCACTTCATCTCTGGTCTGTGTCCTCTGGCAGCCCCTTCTGCAGAGGCTTCAGGGCATCTCCCCTTACCTGCCACATCTCCCTGAAGTCGCCGGGCCTGGGCTCGGTTGTTGTAGGCTGATGCCCTCTCAGGCAACAGGCAGATGGCTTGGCCAAACCTCTCCAGGGCTGTGCTGAGGTCCCCAGCCTCTGCTGCCATCACCCCCTGCAGCTCCAGGGCCTTGGACTGCTCCAACTGTGCTTGAGGGAATACTCCATCTGTGCCAGGGAATGAGCCAGGAGGAGGGGACAGGTGTGCAGTCAGGCCAAGAAGAAAAAGCCACCTCAGGCTTTGGAATCCCAAGATCTGAGCCAGAGCTGACTGAGTGTGGGTCACAGCAGGGATAAGTTGCAGTGTATGGGGTTAGTGGGAGCTGAGGTCACCAAGGCTGGGAGCTAGCACTGCCTTAAGTTCCAAAGGGACCTGGGAAAGGGACCTTGATTGGCTCCCCATTGCCAAAAGAATGAAGCCCAAACTCCTTAACCTGTAGTTCAAGAACTTGCTCAAGGTCACACAATCCATAAATTGCAGAGCTTGGATTGGAACCCAGGTCTTTATGGCTCCTAAGCCTGTCTGCATTTTGTTTTACTACACTGCCTATTACACAAAGGCCACCATGACATTCCCCAGTCATGAAAATCACTTCTTAAGTACCTCTCAGCTTTTCAGTCTAAAGTTTCATTGAGGCTTAGGCTTCCACTCCCCCAGAAACAGATGGCATTAAAAACTCCTTCATTAGGGAATAATGGAAAAGCCAGTTAGCTCAGTGCTTGGCTTGTAATAGGGTTTAATAAATACAGGCTGAACCTAGTGGCTCATGCCAGTAATCCTAGCACTTTGGGAAGCCAAGGCAGGTGAATTACTTGAGGTCAGGAGTTTGAGACCTCATCTCCACAAAAAAATAAGAAAAATTAGCTGGGCATGGTGGTGTGCACCTGTAGTCCCAGCTACTTGGGAGGCTGAGGCAGAAAAATCACTTGAGCTCAGGAGTTCGAGGTTGCAATGAACTATGATCATGCCATTGCCCTCATGCCCAGGGAACAAAGCAAGGCCCCATCTCTAAAAAAAAAAAGGAAAAAAAAAAAAAGAAAGAAAACCTGCTAGTTCTGCTGTCTATATTGTAACCACTCACTCATGTGAACCACCACTCCCTGCCCTGCCGTGTTTCTGTATTCCATTCTGTGGTGGGGGGTGGTGGTATTCTCTGTTATGACACAGATATGAGAGTTTAACATCACCCAATACAATTAAGCTTGCATCATGGAATGAATTAAGTGGTAAGTTCAGAGGTGTAAGAGCTGATTACTTTCTCCTCTTGGTAGAATGTCTCTCACCAAACCCCTATCAGTGCACTAAGGATCAGCCAACCTGATCTCAACCCAATCTCAATCATAACCCAAGGGTCATGGAACAAGGGGCCCTGTAGATCACAGCCCTCTGCCACTCTCGGGAGGCCAGCAGGCCAGCCTACGTGGTGAACTACATTCCAGGGCAAATGCTCACCTTCATCTAGTTCTTCCTTTTCTGCTTCTCCTAGGTCCAACTCCACATCTCCAAATGGGGTGTCAGGGTTGAAGATGGCCTGCAAAACTGCCTGATCATTTGGAGTCCCCATGGTGCTCAACTCCAAAATCCCAAAAGGTGACTCAGGATGAGAGAAGAGGGAGGAAAGGGGATAGGTGCTGAGCCTCCAACAGTCACTTGATCTAAAAAGAGGAGGTTCTGTTTTAGGACCATCCCCCTCAAGAGGAGTGTCTCCCATTCCTTGGCTATCTTGTAAACTCAACCCCCTTGGGCCTGGGGTTAGTGATCCCTGATGGCAGAATATTTACAATTATTTCTCAACACTCCCCAGCCCCCACAGAATAAACAAATCCAGTTTTAGCCTTAAGGTGGAGTAGAGCAAAGAGAAGGTATTCTCCAGTTTTCCCCTGAAATTTTTTCATTTTATTCATGAGAAAATTGTTAGAAGCTGCTGCTTGACCTCCCCTGGATAAAAGGGGTGCGGGGGTGGTGGTGGGGAATATGTAAAAGGTAAAAGGACTATTCCTCTGTCCTCTTGACCTATTCCTGAATATACATCACTGATGAGCAAAAGTCGAAAATACAGTCAGTGTGAACTGGACACAACCGTGCATGCCTGTAGTCCTAGCCTGCGTGATGGAGAGAGACCCCATCTCTTAAAAAAAAAAAATTAGAGAGTCAGTGTGGTGTGGGCCCTGAAGGTAGGCTATGGGGAATGATTTAGTGATTCCACCTTAAAAGAAAGGACTGTGGAAGTACTTTGAACCAGGTCACAGGCCACGCCCCTCCTCCCACTCCCACCAAGGCCAAAAGGAATCTCAACCCTGTGCAGCAATAAACTTGACATGTTTATTAATTAAACTATCACTTAAATAAAAAAAAGTGCATAGAAAATAAACATGTTTAAAAACTCCTTTTTTTTTTTTTACAACTATGTACACTTTTTACTTTTACATTCAGTCTTTCGTAGAGAGCTTTCAGCATTATTATTTTTTGAACTATTAAAGTATTTTCCTTCATCCCTGTCACAGGGAGTTAACACTGATGGACTTTAGACACATTTTCCTTTTATTTTTTCTCTTTTTCTCTAACCAGAAGCTTGGAAGAACACAAGGAGAAAAAAAAAAAACAAAAGATCTGTTATACATGATAAAGTTGTCAAGAAATGTCTTATTTCTAGAAAAGAAGCTTGTCATCTGTTGAGCTCTTGAAACAATTATTCAACTACCTGTATTTACTAAAGAGACTGTTAAAAGTTCAATAAAAGAAACACCACAATTCTATTTTCTTGGTTGAAAGACAGAACTAGAGTACCTCGGAACAAGATACCAGGAAAGCACAGAACACAATTTTCCCCTAAATGCAGGTGGTAACCCCAACATTCATAACCAAAAATAGAGAAACAAGGAGTACAGGTACTGACTGGCAACATTCATGGGCAGAAAAAAATCCAGGTGACACCATTTCTGCATTTCTCTCTGATCCTAGGAATAGACTGTTTCACCATCCCTTTATTGTTTGGGTTTTTTCCCATTTTGGGAATCAGAGGAATGCTAGCCTGACGTTTTCCTGCCACTACTAGCAACTGTAACACAATCCTTATCTATAGTGTTAAGAGAATTAAAAGCCATGGACTGAACTAGGCTTTGTTACATGGTGCATTACTATATTAGTTCCTATATATATCATATTTATATTTATTTGAAAACCAAAACAAACAAAAAGTTGCAAGTTTTCAGAGTGTGAGACTTGACTGGTATTCATGATTCGGCACAAAACCATCTGCTCAATAACCTTGTATTGCTTAAAAATGAAGGAAATGAAACATAAAATTACACCCAGCCCTTTGCAATGACCCGCTTTTCCTTAAAAACAAAAACAACTTGATTTCTATTAAAAAAAAAATCCCAAATCAAACTTAAAAGTTAACATCTGACAAGGTTTTGACCTTTAGTATTTTCAGATATTGATTGAACGTCAGTCCTTTAGAAAGATACATTCATTAAAAGATTTTTTTTTGTTTTTTTTTGTGTGTGTGTTGTTGTATTTTTTTTTTCTTTTTCTTTTTTTAAGTCAAGGGAGCTGCATGGTGCTCACAGCATTGGCCGGGGGTTTGACAGGCAAGCAGGGTGGTGGGCTAGGTCCCGGTCTGGTTGAAAACATATAGCTGCCAGGGCTTCCCCCTTAATTCTTGTTATTGGCCTAAAAACAGGAGGGGCTGTGCTAAAGATGGTGGGTGGCCAAGGAGGGAGCCAAGGGACCAAGTTCCGGCCAAAGGGTCAGCGCCATGCAGCTGTTCTGGTTACACAGTTGTCACTGGCCACCAGGAAATGCAGCCACAACAGGTTCTAGCAGCAAAGCTATAAGTGAGCTGGCTCTCACTGAGAACTGACCAGGTTTGCAGCTATTACTCCTTAGGGATTTGGGATGCCCCTTGGGGGATTCTTGGGAATGACCCACCACAATTCCTCAAACTGCATTTTTGTGCGGATATTCCCTCAGTCACTTTCAAAACAAACTCAGACCTGTTTGGGAGATAGCTGTGCCATTTTTGCCTTCTTTCCCTTGCACAGGGAAACTCTAGCTTATCCCCCAAGTTGCTGGCAGGTATGCTGAAATTTTGGCAATGGACTCAAGGCTGAGCTATAAGAGGAATTTCTCATTTCTGTGGTTGAAATTAGGGGGTGGAAAGGCAAGGCAAACCATCTGCAGCTGGCAGGAGAAGGAAAGATGTGGGTCCTTCTCCTGTCCTCAGGGTTTGGGGTTGGTAGAGAGAATGAGGAGGGGGCTCACAGTACAGCATGGCCTAGCAGGGCAGTAACTAGGTCTATTTAGCTGAGTTTCCCCCACTCCCTGACTGGCCTTTGGGTCTTTCTCAAGGTGAATTCATGACCCATCAGTGCATTAATCATTTCAGTAACAAATGCAGCTTAAGTTTTTTTCTTTAAAAAAAATAGGAATACAAGGATTTACCAAAAAACCTCACACAGTGCAATAATAAAGGAAATCAGACACTAGTGGAACCCCTAGGGCCACTGCATCTTGTTCATGGGCAAAAGGAGGAAAGGAGGTGAGGTCTGGGTAGAGTGCTTTTCCCCAGTCCCTTGCTGGCACTTCTCCACGATGACAAGGAAGTCTCTGCCATCCTGGCCACAGTGCTGGGCTCCCTGCATGACAGTGACAACAGTGATAATGTTCCAGCAAAGCCACCAGACAAAGTTCTTAAGGTCATGGAAGAAAAGGGAGCCCAGGATGGAAGGCACAGCAGAGCCATGAGTCCTGGGTCAGAGAGTGCTGGGCTGAGTCGTATTGCTTTGCTACACTTCCATAGGAATGGGCTTCTTACGTCGAGAAAAGGGTGCCCCACCCTCTACTTGGACTGCACTACTCTGAAACCTTGTGGCAGAGGCAGAGAAAAATCTGCTTTATCGTGAGTGGTCAAACTGTGCTTCAGTTTCAACAGGCTGCCCCAAAAGAGGGCACAAGGTGATCAATGGGTTCTTTGCAGGTATGAGGACTTGGTGGGCAGAGGGAAAGGAAAGGAAGTGACTTATGAGGCAGATGGTGATGGAAAATGTCAAGTTGCCATTCAACTTGTTGGTTGCTAACTCTGAAGTAGGAAAGATGGGGGAAATGTAAAAGATTACTGTCTTTCACCACTCTGGAGCTTGTGCCAGAAAGGAGATGGACAGTATGGGAAAGAGGAGAAACTGTTGTGTCAAGATACTACTGTAGCCTTTTGAGGAGCTTCAATAGGGGAAGGAGGGGAGTGTCCCAGTGGAGTTGGGGGACATTCCTTCTCCATTTATTGTCGAAGAGCAAACTCAGGAAACATGTATGTCAACAGGGCACAAACAAGCTACACATTAAACAACAAAAAGTACACCTTCCAGGGGGAAGTTGGGCAGGAAAAACCAGACTTTGTGTGTACAGCTGAATATTTTCTCTAACTTCATCCTATGAAAATAAAAAATTATTAAAAACCGATCTTCTTTTAAATTAGGATAATACCGCGGTTTAAAAAATAGCCTTGTCATAAGTGCTTCTCCCTATGAAGTGCTTCTCATAGAAAAATATACAAAATATATTTACATTTATAAAACCTTAAATAGTAAACTGTAAACAGAACAGAGTAAAATCCAATGACTTAATTTAACAGGTTCAGGACACTGTCTTCGGGGAAGGAGGAGAAGAAACATTTGATGCTGTTTTGACCACATCCTAAGGAGTAATCAGGGCAGTAGTGTCATTTAATTTACTTTATCCATGGATTGTGCACAGGTGGCAGAGTTCCCTCAACACAAGGTGGTCTAGTCCCCAAGTTTTGGGCCTTGAAATCTGATTAGTGTTCTGCCTTCAACTGGACATTGACCGTTTAAAAATTAAGTTTTCCTATGTCTTAACAAGGGGAAAATAAAGTAATCATGTCCCTAGGAATGGGGCCCAAGGGTTATCCTGGTTGTGATACTCTGGTTGTTGCATGATTCAGATCCTATTTAAATAATCTTTTTCCTCTTCTAAAAAAAAATCATGCTACATTTATTTCTTTAAAACTCTCAGTGGAGTTTTATGAAAACTTCTCCAAATTCTGTCTGGTTGTGACCAATGGCTCCTGTCCACTTCCCCAGCTGGAGTGCTTACAGGCTCAGGGAACTTTTTGCAGGCACATCCTATGCCCAACAGGGAGTGTCCTTGAGCAAGGAGTCAATCTCCCCTACCACCCAGAAAGAAGAATGGGAAAGCAGTGGGATGAAGGATGAGGGAAAGGCAGAAAAGGGAGTGAAGAGAAGGAATGGGAGAGGGAAGCCGCTCCTACTGTCAAGAAAGGTGACTGGCTGAGCTAAGGCTCATGGGGATAACACTCCCACTTACAGCCCACAGGCTCAATGTTTGGTAATTAATTGGCACAACCCTAAGACAGCCTTTTGACACCAGAGGGGGTAGGAATCCTGTCTCCCAGCCAGAAGTGAACTTGCAAGTGGGAGGACAAGGAAAACCACCAGGCCTCTGTTTGTTCAACAGACGGCCACAGGTGGGGCCCAGCTGACAAACTGTCAGGTGTCTAACCAACCTGAATTTGGGGCTTTGCCTGACCCTTCACTTATAGTGCTTGGGAAAGGGCCAAGGCGAGGATGGCAACTTATCTCTGAGGAGATGTTCAGGCCCAATCTCCCAACATAACTAACCCTCTATAGGCTCCTTCCAGGCAAGTCTGCTAGGATCCCCATTTCCCACTTATGAACAGCAAACAATCAGAGGGGCCCCAGGAGAAAGTCAATCATGGATCTTTTCTTTAAGACCTCAACTCTCTCTCCAGGACTATGATCACATGTATAATGTGAATACAGGACATAAGGGAGCTCAGCCATCACAGAGGCCTCTCAACTGCGCCCACTCAATCCTGGAGCTCCTAGCTGCTGGAAAAGGCCTTCAGCATTGCTTTGGATGGCCCTGGGTCCTAGTACTCCAACACTGGTGGAGAAGAGCAGCTTTAGTTTAGGAACTTCCGGCATTTCTTGGCGCCACAGTTGCAGGGCAGCTTGTTGCTGGCATCCTCAATGGGGAACTTATAGTCATAAGTGAGTTCCTCCCCTCGGTAGATCTTACGCATGGCAAAGATGACAATGTGCTTCTGCCCATCAATATTGATGACTCGAGAGTAGCAGTTAGGCTCACATG